TGACAACACACTGCCTGCTGACCAGACTCTGAGGAAAAGTCCATCAGTCTTCGCTGATGCGTTTGGTCATTCAGAGGAGTCCCTAGAGGTAGGCCCTAACATATTATACTTTGCTGATTCATGATTCTTCCTTTTTATATAACTTGACAACTATAGCTTTAGTTTTTCCTGGCATTTGGGGTCCAAGGTCGTCCTCGAAAGCTCTGTTTACCATTGCACAGTGGCTATTTCTTTACTATGTTTCCACATTAATCCAATGAAGTTACATGAATCATGCTCAATTCAAGTTTGTTGTTAAACCTTTGTGCGGTCCACATCTGCTTGCCGTAGGTTGCTTTGGAAACTCTCACTGGATCTCTGTCATTGAAATTAAGTTGATTATTTAGTTTTCTTGGCTTAATCTTTATAAACCTCATGTTAGTACTGTACTTTTTTCAAAGTATTTCAAACTTCGTGAAACATCGCAGTATTGATTGTTAAAGTGCACAAAATGATTGTTTTATTTACTCATTCAAAGAAAAAACGTTTTCACTTAAATTGTAATTGTCAATGGTTTATGGATTACGAGCTGTATTTAAGCATAAATCATATTCTTGAAGAATATACAAATATAGGTACAAGTAAGAACAAAGCATTGCAGCTGTATAATGCGTGTTAAAGCTGTTTTTTCCTTTACATGTCACTGATATTCCACAATGCCTGTTGTGAAATGTGTCAAATTTCACTAAATTAGTGTCCTTGTAAACATGCAGTTTCAACTATAGACAGCCAATTTATCAAACAGTATGTGGTGAACCTGGTGTGCTTCATGCAAAGTATGGCATATATTGATAATGTCTTCAGAAACATTCAATAGTGTGTCTTACAAGTTGGGCTTCAACCTGTTTCTATACTGTATACAGTATTTGGCATTATGCTTCGAACATAGTTAACTTTCAGACTGGACAGCATTTGTACTGTCAGTGTAATTATTTTTGTCTTTAATTTTCAACTTTCAAACAATGGGGTGATGATGGCCTCAGAGCCAAATGCTTTCACTGAATACCTCATCGTGTAATTGGGTGAATTTAGAAATGACAGACTATTGTTCAAAACTTGAGCATAACATGTACTCATTAATATTTGTTGGACATCACAATTTAGAGACACATTTGCAATTTACTTTTTTTCAGTTGGAAAACAGCAGCATCATAGAATACGCTCTTGCCTTGGTGATCAATGACGAGCAACTTGACGATCATTTAGAAATGAAAAGTGTGGGTGACTGAATTGCGCGGTTCTGTCACAATAATATCTTAGTGATAAAGTTACAGCAGTATGCCATCTATTTGGGAGATTGTCATCAGCCGTCTGACCAGCAACATGGACACTACATTTTCATAGTATAAAGGTATTGAGTGTCAATAATGGATATAGTTTTCTGTTTTGTTTAATTTTTAAGGTGCTGATTTTAACAATTTTAAATACATGATGTATATATCTTTCAACTAGTTCATTTTAACCCAGTATAATACTACATAAGGATTTTAAATTGTAGCTTGTATTTGATTTTGGTATATTTGATGGGCTTTACAATTACAGTATGTTTTAATCAAACATCTTTATTACACATTGAAAAGAAAAGCTTTTACAATTTGTGAGCACTTTGAAACAATATTTCCCCTGCATAAATGTTAGGGATATCTGTCTGTGTTTCCCTTTCAGTAACCCGTTTTCATTTCTTTGCCCCAGCTGCCTTTGATGTTAAATTGAGTCATGCTGGTTTCTAATCTGAAAATATTGCTCAAGAAATGATTGGTACTTACTGAATACTGTGCTTTGTGTGTCATTGTTATCTAACATTACTGTGTTTAGTTTTGGTTTATGGTGCAATATGCTTCCTTTTTTAATGCAGTTCATCAGAATCTCTCTGAACACATTTAATCTTTGAATTAAATTGTGATGGGTTATTCAATCCAATACAGCAATTGGTACTGTAGAGTACAGTGTATTTTGCAGTTTGCATATATGAAGGGCGTATTTGTTTGACTGACAGCTTATGAAGTACACAATGCAGAAAACATATTCAGTCGTAAATAGATATCACAGGACCTATTACAGATATGGCAATCACATACAACAGATAAGGCAATCACAACAGTCTCATGTTCATTTATAGTTACACAATCTAACAGTGTCTTTATGATAAACAGAACATGACTGAATAGCATAATGTTTTGCCTTGATAGAGCCAGTGAAGTTGTCAACTTGTTTAATTTAGCAGTGCTATAACTGATTGAAACTCTTGGTGTCACTGTCCACCAACAAAGGCCGAAAGTGTCCACAGCTTCATGCATTCGTTTCCACCATTGCAAAGCGTTATTGTGGTGTGGTGTGTCTGTCGGTTAAGGGCGACACAAAAAGGACTTTGTGAACGATATTCGGATAGCTAATCACAACGAGGAATACAACCGTCATTGATCACTTTGAAAGAATTGACCAGGGAAGGATGGACGCCCGGTCGATCATGGGACATACGGTGCACAGAGGATTATCTATGAATCGCTATTTTGTTTTCCTTTTCATCAGCTTTCGTTTCGCATATGGAGATGTGAGCTACTCTATTGCAGAGGAGATGAAACGCGGGTCTCTGATTGGAAATATAGCCAAAGACGTCGGCCTCGGGATTGCCACACTTTCCTCGCGTAAAGCTCGCATTGACACGGACAGGAATGGGAAGCGGTATTGTGATATTAATCTGAGCACCGGGGATTTGATTACTACTGACCGGGTCGACAGGGAAGGTCTATGTGGTAAGAAGGCGACGTGCGTTTTAAAAGAGGAGCTTGTTTTGGAAAACCCTTTAGAGCTTCATCGTATCAATGTTCATGTGCAAGATATAAACGACAACGCCCCACAGTTTAGTGAGGACTTGATTTCATTTGAAATAGGAGAATCAGCAGATAAAGGAGCTAGATTCTTACTCACTGAAGCCCATGATGCAGATATTGGTACAAATACTGTACAACGCTACAATTTACAAAATAATGCGCACTTCACTATTGATGCAGGGGGCAGTGGGCGAAAACACCCCGAATTGGTTTTGGTAAAAAAATTAGACCGAGAGCAAGAGAAAGAACTAAAATTAGTGCTGACAGCACTAGATGGTGGTTCTCCTCAAAGATCAGGTACTGCAATTATTCACGTGACTGTACTAGATGCCAATGATAACGCCCCAGTGTTTAGCCAGGCAGTTTATGAAGCCAGTCTTCCTGAAAACGCACCTTCAGGTACACTAATTATTACAGTGAGCGCATCTGACGCAGACACGGGACCCAATGGTGATATTACGTACATTTTTGATCATGTTTCTGATGACCATGTATCGTTGTTCTCACTTGATCAAAGGACAGGAGACATAAGAGTATTCGGCACTATCGATTATGAGATTGAGACCTCCATTGAATTGCGAATAAGAGCAAAAGATGGACCAGGTCTTGCCTCGTATTGTACAGTGATTATAGATATAACAGATGTCAATGACAACCCCCCTGCTATCACTTTGAAATCGATGACTAACCCCATACCCGAGAACGTGTCACCTGGTACAGAGGTGGGCATCAT